TCACTGTGTTCATGGAAAAGAATCTCACATAGAAAGTCAAGGGCAGTCTGAGAGCTTCTAGGAACATGGAGAAAAGCTGGTTGTATAGAGAAAGCGGGGTATAAATTTTATATGTCACCACCACTGTGTACAGTGGTGGGGATATTAGTGGTTGTCTTTTGCCCATTTTTATTTTGTAGCTTTTCTTTAACGAGCATGGATTTTGATCATTAGATAAGGTGTGCATTGAAAACAGAAGTATCATCCTTGTTGGGAATTTTTGTTGTGTTTTTAATGCTGCTTCTGGTGCTTGAAACATCTCTAGAAAGTGTTTTTCAGTCTTGGCTAGCAGTGGGAGCACCTGCATGCATTGCAGGGTGTTTAGCAGGATCTTAGCCTCTATGTAATGAGATGATAACTTGTCCTCAATTGTGACCACCCAAAATTTCTCCACACATCACCAAATGTCCCCTGAGGTGATCCCCTATTTTAGAAACACTGTTCTGGAATCATGTGCTGATACTTTCCCAAATGCTCAACCCTAGGGGACCCCATATGAGGTAGCCGGGACTATTGAGTATGCACAGTAATGAAGTCTATGAAAATCTGGGCATTCATTTGCTTGTCCCTAGAACACTTCTTCGCCAGAAAGGTGTGTTTGGTCTAAGAGGTGGCAGCAGGTAGCCCTAGCCCTTCCCCCTGCAGGGTGGAATGCCCTAGGAGGAATTTAGCTGCTTGTCCAGTGAGGAAGGTCCGGTGAGGAAGGTGTCTGGTGATTGACAAGGCTCATAAGGACATAGATGCCAGTAGTACTGTTCACGGGAAGGAGGTAGAAGCTGAATTCCCAGCCCAAGAGGAGAGCGAAAGCAGAAGTACTGTTGACTAGACACCGTGGAGCCTGGACCAGAGAACTAAAGCTCCTTAAATTCCTCCTGTCGGGGAGCAGACTTGTCCTCAGAGCTGGGGGCAGCTCTCAGCATGTGGCTGGAAGAAGCAGGACCTTAGGTTAGGAAGCAGATGGGTGGGTAGCTGAAACCACCTTCACAGTCTCACGGGGTCTTGAATGACGACCGATCAAGATGTGTGAACCTGGTGTGGAGGGAGGACAGAAGGAGAGCGACTTTCCTCTAGAAAGATCTGGAGAAGTGAGTGGTACTTTCAAAATGATCAATGGGGAAAATGTGCTTTGAGCACTTGAAAGTTCCTGAATAATGTATTTGTGATCCTCAGTGTTTGTAGAAGTTTCTGACTGCCAGTTCCTCTCATGACCCTACTACTGATCATATCTCTGATTTATATGAGACCTAGTCCAGGAACAAAACACTAATCATGAGATTTTTTTTCCTATGGGAAAATATATCTTGCTTTATTGCAATGTTCTTTATGATGAATTTTCCAGAAATAATGTGTAGAACAGGGTTCCTTATAAAGTTGGGCTTTGCTTTCTCTATGTGTGGATTTTTGTGCCCTTGTCTTCCTCCCTAGCCAAAGGCTAATTTATTCTCTGCTAGATATAATAAAACTTGAAGTGTTCATTTTTAATAATGTACAGAGCACAAGGAAAATGAATAGGGGATTATCAAGATAATCGTTCATATTGAGTAATATATATATATATTTCATGAGACAAATTATCCAGTTAATCTGAATGATATAAAATTTCCATTTTATATGTCAAAACCAGTCAAGTAGCAGCAATTTCACATGGCCCAGCCAAAATACTAATGTTGGCTATAAAGAAAATTTTTGTGAAGTGAATATTCTATTTTTTATTGCCTTTAAAAAAATTCAGAGTTTCATTTCCCTGAAGATGGAGTCAAAAACTTTGGCTGTGCATCGTGTTGGGCATGGCTGGAATTCAACACATTATTTTTGTTTAGAATCTTGTTTCCATTGGAACAAGAGTTCTCAACCCTGGCTGCTCACAGAATCCCTGGGGAACCTTCAGAATACTGATCCTACCCGAGGCTGATAAGCCAGCCCGCTGGCGTTGGTCTGTAGTGGGGCAGGACTCAGCCTCAGTGGGGTTTGCTCTGTAGGTGGCACAGTGGTGCAGCCGGGCTTGAGAGCTGCCATACCAGAGTTCCAGGTTGAGAGGAGTCTGCATCACTTCTCCATGCCACCTCACCTCCTGGCCTATTTCCCTATCTTACTTTGAACCCAGAAGATCCAAAGACAAACTGTGTAAAACAAGCTTGACTTGGTCAGCTCCTGTTTTGGTTTTCATTCAACAGAATATTGATTGAGGAGCTATTAGGAGCTTGATCCCATGGCTGAGTATTTTTGGAAAATCATGACAGTCTAGAGAGAAGTTTGGCCTCCTTAAAAAGCCAGGCGATGGACACATGGGGAAGGGCCTAGGCCTGGCCCAAGATGATGTGGTAGACTTTGGGGAGCCCCTTTTGAGGGCCTTACCCTGCCTGGGGAGTGGGGGGGGATGGCTAGGGGCAGGTGGGATGTTGGGGGGGGGGGGGGGGGAGGGGGAGGG